ATGCCCTGTTAGGTAAAGGAGATGCTGCAGCTCATGGTAATAGGCAGCTCCTTCTCTAAGCTCTGATGGGCTTAGGTTCAAATCCTGGCTCAGCCCCAAACTGGGTATAAGGTCTTGGGAAAGTCATGTAGACTGGCTGTCCTCAAGTCTTGTCTTTGAAAATGGGGTCATAAACCTTCCGTCTTGTGTTACAAGGATTACAGTTAAATTAGTCCTTGCTCAGAGAAATGCTGCCAGTAAGAGAGAAGGATTCTGTGCTCTGGAGAGACAGCGGGCTGGTCCTGTGTGGGCTCCTGGGCCTCCGTGTGCCTCACTCTGTCCTGTACAGCAGGAGTGCTGGTAGGCGTGAGGACTGGCATGTGTGCACTGGCTTCAGGAGTACCAAGCATGCTGTCTGCACATGTTCAGGGCCCTGTACATGTTAACCACCATTGTTTGTCACTAAGGAAAATGGGGACAGAAGCCAGGATGCGGCGCACACCTGTGATCCCAGCAATCAGGGAGATTGAGGCAGGAGGATCACAAATGTGAGCCAGCCCAGGCTGCCTAATGAGACCATGTCTCAAAATAAAAACTAAGAGCAGGATGGGGATGCAGCTTCGTGTGAAGGGCTGATGCAATCACTAGTACTGAGGAAGACAGGAAGACACAGACAGACAGGAAGGCAGAAGGGAAACCCCAGAATTCACAACAAAATTCATTGCTAAAATAATCAACAAAAATCAAACTTGAGCATACATTTACTAACGTAATTTTGTAAAGCCTATCAGCCTTCAAAATAAAGTTATAATTTTTATTAGCGCATGTTCGTGGTAAATAATGCTTATGTTCCTGGACGGGTGCTCATACGCGGACGCACCCATCTTAATTCTTTGCATTCTCTTTCCCACCTCCCTCTCCCTTCCCGCCATCTTGGCTCTCTGCCCATTTTCAAAAGATCCATCTTCCTATTTCCTATTTTCTATATTTTTATTTTTCTCTTTCAAGATAAATATTTTAACAATCTGAGGTACAGGATCTCAGGATAAATCCTGAGGGCATTTCACTGACCCTCTCAGACCAAAAAGCTACAACTCTTGTTGCACAGGTCCTGCTTTACCTTGGTCTTAACCATCCAGTAGAAAAGTATGAAGA